ACCTAGCTACTACCACTAACTAGCATTATTGATTATTGTATGGTTAATTACTATTATTGTGGTTGAGCTTTCTTGATTGTTATGTGGCTGCTCTTTATAGTATCTTGCTTTGGCCTTTGCATGTTTGAGTTTGCTAAATGATAAGCATGTTAGTTCACCAATAGTAGTTAATGTGATCATGCATAATAATGATGCTTGCTTGGTGCTATAATTGGTTAATTTGCTACTGGGATTTCCATGAAATCTCATTCCATAAATGCAATCTAACATTTTAGGGCCTGAATGAAAGGGAAGCTACAGATTGAAGGTTGATTGATCATATTTTGGTTATGTATATATTATACTAACAGTGCTGGAAGCACACTGACACTTACTGGTTCACGTGACTTTTTGATATTGCTTCCGTGCGTGTTAAATCATGAAATTTGGTATGATGAAATTTAACGTCCTGAGCTTCAATTTGATAGATAATATGTTAAAAATGGCCCAGTATACGATTTGTAATGATTTTTCAAAATTAAAGGTCAGAATCTGGAGAAAGGGTTTTTGGCAAATGGACAGTGTTGTATTTCTCAAAAACCTGACGCTTTTTCATAAGGAATTGGACAATGAGATTATTTTTCCTTGAAAGAGGACTTAAAGAGATTTAAGTAGAATTTTGAACCACCCCAATTGGATTTTTGTGGAATAAGTTATGAATTTTTGAAGTTAGGCCAGAAAAACTGGATTTTTACCCGATGAACAGTAAAAATCTGAAAATTTAGCGTTTTTATGGTAAAAAGTGAGCCCAAGACCATCCAAAGTGGTCTAAAATGGTTTTGAAAGGAACCTAAGTCAAAATAATAGTAAGGTGTGACATGGCATGATCTGGAAATTCCAGCACTTGATGGCAGCTATGTGTCCCTCTTATGTGGCACTCTGACACACCATTTTGAAGGTGGGAGAGGGCAGAAACTTTGTCTATAAATACCCCTTAAATACATGAAAATAGGTAGAAAATTGACAAAAGAAGGGGAGGTTTTGTCAAAACGTTTTCCTGAGCTTCAAACTTAAACTTATTGAGTGCATTTGGACAAGGAATCATCAAGCTTTAATCAAGGATTCACCAATGTATGTTTGAGCTTTGGTTTAGTTAGGATTAAAGCTTGTTTTGGTTAGATATTTGAATTAAAATTTAAGGGGGAGGTGCTGCCACATTTCGGTTAAATTGTCTATGTATTAAGGAAGGATAGAAAACCTTAAATATGAAGTGAAATAATCATGTCTAAGTGTTTAAATATGAAGTGAAATAATCATGTCTAACTGTTGTTTGAATTGATTTTTGGAAGAAAATCAAAGTAGGGGTTATTATTTCTCTATTTGGCCAAGTCTGGTTGAGAAAGAAGGAGTTTGATTTTTATAAATCTGAATAGATATTTGAATTCTACATGAAAAATTGTGTAGAAATGAGCTAAGAGATTATTGGAATCAAAGGAGGGTTAATTATGTTAAAGATCAAAGTAACAAGGGAATTAAGAAAGTTTAAGGTTAAGTGTTGTATTCAAGTTGAATGATTGTTAATGTGGCTTGCAATTATACTGAAATTGATAGGTTTTGTGGAGAAAAGTCAAGGAGAACATAATTCACTTGAGGAGGCCGAATTATACCAATGTTTAAAAGGTAGCATTGAACCTATAATTTGATTGTTTATCTTGCTTGCTTAATGTGTTTATATTGATTGCTTTGAATTGAGGAATTTATTTTGCGGTAATTGTTGATTTCATGACATTTAATATGCTTTGACCAAATACATTATAATGTGTCAATGTGAAAGTGTGATTGTTGTCCCTCCTGTCATGATGCATAGCCTAATTTTATGTGACTTAAGGATGTCTTGAAGTTCTACTACATAGCACATTATGCATTGCTTGATTGACATGATAATTATAGTTCATTGCTACTGAGATTTTTGTGAAATCTCATTCCTTCCTATGTTACATTATGTATCAAATAGGGAGTGGATCAACCATGGGCAAGGGTAAAGAGATAGTATTGGGCTAAGGTGCTTGTGTGACCTATATGAATATGTATTAATATTATGTTGTAATTTTGGAGAATTTTATTATGATGTTGTAATAAGTTTTGAATAATGTTGACTTGAACTTATGTATATACGGTGTGCATTATTGAACATGAATATAGACCTGGATATGGCTGAATGTTTTGGCAAAGAAAGGAAGAAAGAAAATTCAAGAAAATCATACTTAAGGGATAAAAACACTCTAAACAGGGGCAATCTTGTGACACATAAAACAATAGGCAAATAGATGAATTTAGACCTGAAATTTGGTAGGCTTATATATCTCATTTTTAGCTTTAAAGCAAGTGGTAGATCACTAAATTTGGAGTTTTTTTTTCCAAGACCATATGAACAATGCAACTTGGCGAATTTTCTGGCTTTATTTCGTGATGATCTAATCCCAGTGGGTATTTTTCCTTTATAGTACACATGACAAGCTTCAAATAGAAATTAAAACCACCTCATTTCAATGTTTCTACATTTGATTATAAATTTTCAAAGTTAGCAAAAATTTCTGTGAATGATGAACAATACTTGAGGGCTTTTTGTGATCGCAGGTCACAACTTAAGAATTCCAAGTCGTGACTTGGTAGCAAAAATTGCATCTGTGACCCCAAGTTGCGACCTGGAGGTACGGAGTCACAACCTAGAGTAAAATTTAGAAAAGTTCCAGATTTTTGGGAATTTTCTTATACTTAATGCTCATATAATGATCCCAAAGGGTTCCAATTATCATATAATGGGGTAATAAAGGAGGTGTGATATTATACATGAGTTGGAGCTAGTAGAGATAGTTTTTGCCTTAAAGATCTGGAGGTATTATCTATATAAGGCAAATATTGAATTATATTACGACCATAAATGTCCTAAGTACCTATAAGATAAAAAAGAGTTAAACATGAGACAGAGGAAGTAGATGGAGCTGCTCAAGGATTATGACTATTAGATAAAGTGCCACTCGAGAAAGGCTAATATTATAGCTGACGCACTTAGCAGAAAAGTAGTACATGTAGCATTAATGACGATCAAGGAGTATGAGTTGCTGGAAAATGTCAGAGATTGTGTTTAGGGGTGGAAATAGGCCAGGCGGCCTGTCAAGGGCCTGTAAATGGCCTGACCTAGCCTGGCCTATTTAGATATCAAACCAGGCTCAGGCCTGTAAAAAGGCCTGTTTACTTTATCGGGCCAGGCTCAGGCCTGATAGTAAGCCTGTTAGGCTTGTCAGGCGGCCTGGGCCTGTTATCTTTTTTTTTTAGGTTAAAATTGTAAATTGATAGGAGGGAATCTGCTATTCTGATTGGTTAATTGAGAAAACTCTATCCACATAAATGTGTTATCTAGAGCCTATTGTATGCTTCATTTCATTTCTATTCTCTATAATAAAAATAATTGATGTATGTATAATGACACATATTTGAACAGAGAAAGAAAACATAAGTGCATTAAAAAAAATAAAAGCCTCATTCATTTATTTGATCCATGCTTTTCATATTAATCTTATATAGAATATATATAGAGAGAATTGTCCTATTATGTTTTAGACCGTATATATGTGTGCTCAATCTAATTCTTATTATAATAGTTATTTAATTAATTTAAATAAATAAATAAATTAGAATAATTGTAACATTTTTTTAAACAACCATGTGTAACAAAAGGATTAAATATCATTTTGTTAGTAAATTAGTTTGAATAAATGATAAATTTAAAATATAAAAGGGATTAAGGATGTTTCATATTTTAAACTAGATCTATTCATCAACTAATTTTTATACTAGAGATGGGATGAAGTGATATTTTTATATCAGAGTGAAATTATGTTTTCTAATAATTTTTCATATTAGATTTTTTTTTGGGCATAAGGGGACATGTTTTACAATTGTGTTAATTTGATAATTTTATATTTTTTGTTCGTATTTTAGATCAATTACGTTGAATTATTATAATTTTGAATTGATTTATGTGTATTTAAAATTTGTTATAAAAAAACAGGCCTCTTAACAGGCCACAGGCCAGGCTCACGCTGATTAAAAGGCCTTTCATAGGCCGCAAGCCAGGCTCAGGCCAACAGGCCTCTCCACAGGCCAGGCCTGTTAAGGGTGAGGCCTAGCCTGGCCTGGCCTGTTTCCACCCCTAATTGTGTTACACCTTACTATTGGATCCACTTAGGGTTCAATCAAAACCATTTTTTACCATATTGGATGGTCTTGGGCTCAATTTTTTTTCACAAAAATGCTGATTTTCAGATTTTTACTATTTATTTGGTAAAAATCTAATTTTATGATCCAATTTCAAAAAATCATAACTTAATATAAAAAAATGGAAATGGAGTGGTTTAAAATTCTGTGAAAAGCTTTGAATGCTCTTTCAAGAAAAAATAAACTTGTGAACCATTTGAGTAAGTGTTAGGTTTTTTTGTGGAAGTCATCACTGTCCTTTTGGTAAAAATTCCTTTTCTAATTTATGGACCTTAACTTTGAAAAATCATTATAAATTGTATAGTTGGCCATTTTTAATGTGCTACTTATTAAATTGAAGCTTAGGGCGTGAACTATAATCATACCAAATTTTGTGATTTAATACATTCGGGAGCCTAGTCAAAATGTTGCTCAAATTTGGTGGTGTAATTAGGGTTACAGCATTGAACAACAGAATAATTACATAACCAAAGCCAATGTGTAAAAACCCTTTACCTTAAAAACGTTAGAACTCATCACAAAGTCACTACTATGGTAGAAAAGGAAAATCTGTTAAATGAACTACCATAGTAGGAAGAAATTTGCATAATTTTGAATTCACATTTAAACCGTTGCATGCAACTGAAATTCTTTCTTTTCCTAGTGGCAATATACATACTTCATACATACCTTCCTTGTTTGTTTTGTGTTTCCTTTCTTTCTTTACTAATGAGGGTTTCCATCCTTAGTTGGGGAGAGGAAGGATGGTACAGACACGTCAAACAGATCCAGCTGGTAATGGACCGCCTCAAGAGAATGAGGCTTTTCTGAGACAAATGAGGGAGATGATGACGGCGGTGGTAGATGAAAGGTTGAGGAAGTTTGAAGAAGACTTCACAAGGAAGCATCAAGAGTCGGTCAATCAAGAGGACCGAGAGAATGAGGTGACTATGGAGGCACGAGGAGTAGGAGAAAGAGGGGTTAGGAGCGGTGATCGAGCTGGAGATTTACCTCAGAGGGAGGAGTATCGAGCGGCTAGCCAGGGAGGAGATACTTCAGAGGGAGTGATTTACCCTCCGTTGCTGAATGACATCACCAAGGTATGGAGAGAGGTGCATCGTCATGATCCTCCCCAGTTCAAGGGAAGTTTGGAACCGTCAGATGCAGAAAAGTGGATTGAGCGGATGGAGACAATCTTTACTGCTGTTCCTTGTCTTTCCCCGCTCAAGGTACAAGTGGCGGTTACCTATCTGGTGGAGCAAGCAAGGCATTGGTGGGATAGTGCAAGACCTTCTGATATATCTCAGTTGGACTGGGATACCTTCAAGCGGATGTTCTATGATCACTTCTTTCCGAAGGAGTTGCGAATGGAAAAGCAATTCCTGTTCTACTCCTTGAAGCAGGGCGAGATGCATGAGGACCAGTTTATCACAAGGTTTATAGATTTGGCAAAGTATGTGCCCAGGCAGACGGAAGATCATTCACTTTGGTTAGCTCAACAACTGATGAACCGTGCAAGGCCGGAGTTGAAACAGCAGTTGGCCTTGTTAGAGGTCAAGACCTTTGAGGAGATGTGTGTGAAGCTGCGGGTTGCGGCTAGAAGGACAAGAGAGGTGGTAGAGGCAAGGAGGGCTAAGAACCAAGCTAGAGCAGCTCGTTACCCTGGACCTCCAGGAGGAGTGGGGAAGAGGAGTCAATACAGCTCTGGGAGCTCGAGTAGCTCAGGGAGAAACAGGAACCAAGGGCAGAATCAAAGGGCGAATGCTCAGAGGGGCTTTATGCAGAGGCGCCAGAATCCAAACAATCAGACTGGTGGGGGACAGGGCTCCCGTCGAGATTCATCAGTGACCACCCCGAGTGTTACTGGACCGTGCCCCAGATGTGGGGGTAGGCATGCGGGGCAATGCTGGGAGTGCTTTCGATGCCACCGGTGGGGACATATTGCCAGAAACTGTCCAGAGAGTCAGCTGACACCTCCAGCTGGTCGTTCTACTGTTCCAGGACGTGTCTATGCGATGACAAATGAGGAGGCTTCTGCATCTCCGAACTTGATTCGAGGTAACATTCTACTTGAGGGACATGTTATTTCTGCTTTATTTGACTCGGGTGCTACGCACTCCTTTATTTCTGTGGACTGTGCTCAGAAGTTGAGCTTGCCTGTGGTTGAGCTACCTTATGACTTAAGAGTGTCTACTCCTGCTGGAGTCACTGTTGTAACTGGAAGAGGGTGTCTAGAGCTTGCACTTCAGTTTGAGAGTCGAGATTCTAAAATAGATTTGTTCTGTCTACCTTTGAAAGGTATCGACGTGATTATTGGCATGAATTGGTTGATGGCCAATGGAGCAATTCTTGATTGTAAAAGGAGGTTGGTGACAATCTCGGTAGGTGCCTTATGTGCTGAAATGTCGAGTGGTCCAGTTTTGTTGTCAGCTGCTCAAGTAGAGAAGGCGGTGAGGAAAGGGTGCCAGGCCTTCATTGTCTTCTTTTCAATTAGTGAGGATGAGGCAGGCGGAATTGAACAGATAGCTGTGGTGAGGGACTACCCCGAAGTGTTTTCGGACGAGGTTGCAGGACTACCTCCGGAGCGAGAAGTGGAGTTCTCCATCGAGTTGGTTCTGGGAACCACCCCAATCTCCAAGGCTCCCTATAGAATGTCTCCTTCAGAGTTGGTCGAATTGAAAAAGCAGCTAGAAGAATTGCTAGAAAAGGGACTTATCCGACCAAGTGTGTCACCGTGGGGATCGCCGGTTTTGTTCGTGAGGAAGAAAGATGGTAGCTTGAGGTTGTGTATCGACTACCGACAACTAAACAAGGTCACAATCAAGAACAAGTACCCGTTGCCTAGAATTGATGACCTATTGGACCAATTAGTTGGAGCATCAGTTTTCTCTAAGATTGATCTGAGGTCGGGATACCATCAGTTAAGGGTTCGAGCAGAAGACATTTCAAAAACAGCCTTTCGAACTCGTTATGGACATTATGAGTTTTTGGTGATGCCTTTTGGACTGACAAATGCTCCAGCTGTCTTTATGGACTACATGAATCGAATCTTCCGACCTTATTTGGACAGATTTGTGGTAGTGTTCATCGATGACATTCTGATTTATTCTAGAAGTGAGGAGGAACATCGAGAGCATCTTCACATCGCACTACAGATATTGAGGGATCACCAGTTGTATGCGAAGCTGTCAAAGTACGAGTTTTGGCTAAAGGAAGTGAAGTTTCTGGGTCATGTGGTGTCAGCTGTGGGAGTAGCAGTGGATCCTAACAAGGTGGACGCAGTACTTAAGTGGGAAGTCCCTAGATCGGTAACTGAGGTACGGAGTTTTGTGGGATTAGCTGGTTACTATCGGAGGTTCATCCAAGGCTTTTCTCAGATTGCAATGCCGTTGACCAAGTTAACCAAGAAGGATCAACCGTTTGTTTGGACGGAGAAGTGTGAATCAGCGTTCCAAGAGCTGAAGACCAAGTTGACTACAGCTCCAGTGCTTACTCTTCCAATCCCCGGAGTACCTTATGTTCTTTACACCGATGCGTCACTAAAGGGTTTGGGTTGTGTGCTAATGCAGAACAATAAGGTGGTGGCATATGCTTCCAGGCAGCTAAGGCCACATGAGGAAAACTACCCAACCCATGACTTGGAGCTAGCGACAGTAGTTTTTGCACTAAAGATCTGGAGACATTATCTGTATGGCTCCCAGTTCGAAGTCTTCAGTGACCATAAAAGTTTGAAATACTTGGTGGATCAGAAAGAGTTGAACAACCGGCAGCGTCGTTGGATGGAGTTCCTGAAGGACTATGATTTTGAGATTAAGTATCATCCTGGAAAAGCAAATGTGGTAGCGGATGCTCTGAGTAGAAAAGCGGTGCATGTGTTCTGTATAAGCTTAAAGGAACAATTCTTGCTCGAGGAGTTATTAGAGATCCCAATTGTACCGTCGGAGCAAGCTACTTTATGTGCAGTGCTTGGAGATTATGAGTTCTATCAGGATTTACGAGCGGCTCAATGGGAAGATGATCAGTTGGCAAAGATTCGGGTAGAATTGGAGGATGGCCCAGTACAGGACTATGAACTTGGAGATATGGGCATCCTGAAGTATAAGAACCAGATTTGTGTTCCCCAGGACGAGGAGATTAAAGGAACTATCCTAGAGGAGGCTCATCGAAGCCGTTACGCCATCCACCCTTAAGCAACCAAGATGTACCACGACCTAAAGCAGCAGTATTGGTGGCTGACTTCGTACTTCGGTGTTTGACCTGCTAGAAGGTCAAGATAGAGCATCAGCAACCTGGAGGTTTGTTACAAGGGCTAGAAATTCCTCAGTGGAAGTGGGACAACATCTCCATGGACTTCATTGTAGGTTTGCCGAGAACACCCGAAGGGTATGATGCTATTTGGGTGGTGGTGGACAGATTGACAAAATCTGCTCACTTTTTACCCTACAAAGTTAATTACACCTTGGAGAGAATGGCCAAGTTGTATATGGATGAAATCGTCAGGCTTCATGGTGTTCTGTCGAGTATAGTCTCGGACCGAGATCCGCGCTTTACTTCTAACTTTTGGAAGGCAGTGAATACGGCTTTGGGTACTAAGTTGAAGTTCAGTACGACATATCATCCACAGACCGATGGACAGACTGAGCGGACAATTCAGACGCTAGAGGATATGTTGAGAGCGTGTACCATTGAATTCAAGGGGAGTTGGATTGATCACCTACCCTTAGCTGAGTTTGCCTACAACAACAGCTACCATGCCAGCATCCAGATGGCCCCTTATGAAGCACTCTACAGCCGGAAGTGTCGATCGCCTCTTTGTTGGACGGAACTGAGCGAAAGAATGGTTTTAGGACCAGACTTGGTAGATGCCACTACAGAGAAGATTGAGGTCATCAAACAGAAGTTGTTGACCGCTCAGAGCCGGCAAAAGAGTTATGCTGATAGGAGGAGGAGACCATTGGAATTTTGTGAGGGTGACCACGTGTTTTTGAGAGTCACGCCGACTACTGGTATTGAGAGGTCCATTAAAGCGAGAAAGTTATCTCCTAGATTTCTTGGACCATTTGAAATTCTAGAGAGAATTGGAGAAGTAGCCTATCGAGTTGCTTTGCCACCGCACCTGTCCAACGTACATGATGTGTTTCATGTGTCTCAACTCAAGAAGTACCACCCTGATCCGTCTCACATCTTAGAGCCTGAGGAGGTGGAGCTGGATGACAATCTAACTTACCAGGCTGAACTGGAAAGGATCCTTGATGTGAAGGACAAGCAGTTGAGGAATAAGACCATTTGATTGGTGAAAGTCTTCTAGAAGGGCATGAGTCCTGGTGATGCCACCTGGGAGACAGAGGAAAGGATGCGACGTGATTACCCTCGTTTGTTTTCTTAGTAAGTGTTTGTGTTTGTTTGTGTGGTGTTTTGTGTGATTGCTTGAATTTTGGGGACAAAATTCCTTAGTTGGGGAGAGTTGTAACATCCTAAGTTTTTATCGGGTTTTAATAACCTCTTTTGGTTGATTTTGAGGATAGATTAGCAATTTAATCTTGATCTTGGTGTTTGGGTTGGATTTGAGGTTTGTTGGAGGAATAGGTGAACGTACCCCTCTCAGGGTATGTTCGCCGCGGCGAAGTCGCACCGGGAGTTTCAGAGGGGAGTGTCTTCTCGGGAAGGTTTGGCCGCGGCGAAGTCTTGGGGATGCCGCAACGAAGTTGTTCTGGTGAGCGAGGCTTCCCTTTCGGGAAGGTTTCACCGCGCGAAGGTAGGGGCATGCCGCGGCGAAATTCTTCTGGGCGAGCAAGAGTTTCCTCTCGGGAAGCTTTCGCCGCGGCGAAGATTGGAGTTCGCCACGGCGAAGTCGGGTTTTCAGGCGAGTAATCCCTCTCGGGATTAGTTCGCCGCGGCGAAAGGTCGCGAATCTATATAGTCGCGGGAGGGTTCAGCGTGCGAAAATAAGAAAATCTGAAGGAGGAGAGAGGAGCTCTGCTAGGGTTTCGAACTTTTGGCTTAGAGGGGGCATTTCTAAGGATCCATTACCTCAAGTAAGTGATTTTAACCTCTAATCTTCTTTCTTTCTTGGAATTTCTTGGAATTTCTAAGGATTTTTGGTGGAACCCTAGGATTTTCTAAGTTATGATGGAATTGAGGTTTTTGACCGATTGTTTTGAGTTTAATTGATCGCTTGGGGTTAGTTTAAGTATTTAATCGGTGTAGTTTCCTTGGATTTAAAGAATCTTGAATTTTTGGAGTTAGGGTTTATGGAAATAGGAGGTTTGTGATTGAGGATGACAATGTAGAGGTTGATTCTGAGTTTTGTGATTTGGGTTATGTTAAGGAGGATTAAATTGAATGTTTAATCGGTTTAGATTTGTTGTTGGAACCTTAATTGCTCAAATGGGATGTTGGAGGTTGAATTCCTATAGTGGGTCCTTGAGGTTTGAATTTTAATTGATGTTTGAAAAGGAATTAAGGTTTTAATGGATTGGTATGACCTTTGGAGTGTTGCCTTGATAGTTATACCCTTTGAGTTGGGTAGAGTTTTGATGGGAGATAGGAATTTTGTGTCCCCAAGTGTTGTTTTTGGCCACATTATTAGTTGAAAGCTAATATATGATGGTTGTGTGTTTGTATGCTTGTGTAGACTGGTTGTGAGTCTTGGTGGTGCACGGGGCCACATCATTGGTTTGTTATTCCTTGCTCAGGCGAGAGGTAACCACTTTCCAATCCTTAGTACTTGCTTCTGTGGTTTTGTGAGTAGATTTATGTTTTGTGCTCTAAGTAGTAATTATGTTCAAACTGTATGTTGTGTATAAAAAGGAAAACCGTCTTGTGGGGTTTCGACTAATGATGAATGAATTTTGGAATTGTGAAAGATATGCCACTGAATGAGGTTAATTGTGAAATGATTATTACTTTGTGATTACGATTTGAGCATGATGCATTAATTGGGAATTGGTGAGAGTTTTGTCTGTTACTACCACGTGGTAAGGCCTCCATTAATGCATGATGGTTGGCTTAGTACGTCCCCCATAGTGAGGGATAGGCCTTTTGGCTCCCTACGTCCCCTAGAGTGAGGGATAGGCTTTTTATGGCTCCTTACGTCCCCCATAGTGAGGGATAGGCCGGCTTCGGCTCCTGAAAATCCCCCAAAGTGAGGGATTTGGTTAATGGGATTTGCATCATTTCACTCGCATGATTTATTGTGGCTATCTTGTTATTATATTACTTGTGAACTGCCCCACTTGACACCTCACGAGCACCTATTTAGTAGTACCTAGTATTGGAAAGGTTGGTTACTGAGACTTTGTCTCACCCCGTGGTTTACAATGTTTTCAGGTGAAGGTTCCGGGCGTGGGCCATCGGGAAGAGACGCAAAGGCTTGAGCTTGGTTAGCTTTAGGCTTCTAGCATTTGTACATGTATGACTAGTATATATTGCCACAGTTAGGACTACTTTTTGATATATTTGAGTACCCGGCCTTGTTGTAAACTGGAGAGAATGTATCTCCTTATTTTGGTTGGCCGGAGGCCATTGCTAGTGTTTTATGAACTCTGGATTATTTGATTGGGAATCATTTAGATGGGCTGATGTGATGTTTGTTATTTTGACTCCAAGTTTAATTTCTTTTCTATAATTACAGTACTTTGGCCTCTGTAATTATTTTCTGTCAGATCTATAATTTATTCTCCTCATTTTTATCTTCCCAAAATGCCCTCTTTGTCTCAAAATCAAATTCCCAATAATTAAATAAAAAGGAAAACCAATTTCTTTCCTTTTAGTGATTTTTCTACTTTTCAAAGAAATTAGGAAAAATCTTGGATATTTGAGAGTCTCCTTTTAATTCCATAATCTCTTATAATTCCTTAGGATATCATAGAAATTTTGTTGGAATTTTATTCTCCTTAAAAATATTTATTTGGAATTTTCCAAATAAAATCCCTTAAATTGGCCTAAATTACCCTTAAATTCCTTTGTAATTTTTCTAAGAATAATTTGGTCATAAAGCCAATTATATAATCTCATATAATTCTCAAAGAATATTATGTTTATTTTTTCTTAATTTTCTAAGGCTTGGAAATATTTTTTCATAATTATTTTTGATCAATTTTCCTTAATTGGTCAAATTTTCATAATTGACTTGGAAAATCATAATAATTATTTTCTACCAAAATTCTTCTATTTCTTCTTATCGTTTTTGGCCCTTAATTATTTAGGAATATTCCTTATTCCTAATTACCCTATTGCCGGATGTGATGTCACATCCAATACTTTGCCAGGATGGTACTTAATCTAAAAATCATAATCCTTAAGCAAATCCATCCATCTTCACTGCCTCCTCATATTCAACTCTTTTTGATCATAGAGATACTCGAGGCTCTTGTGGTCGCAAAACAATTCTATTGTTGCTCCATACAGGTAATGTCTCCATATCTTTAACGCATAAACTATCACTGCCAATTCCAGGTTGTTGGTCAAGTAATTCTCCTTATGATATTTCAATTGGTGTAAGGCATATGCTACTACTCATCCTTGCTGTATGAGCACACATCCCAGTCCCTGCTTGCTAGCATTTGTATAAACCACATAGGGGTTGAGAAGGATCAGGGAGTACAAGTACGGGAGTAGAAGTGAGCTTCCTCTTCAGCTCCTGAAAACTAGCCTCACTCTTCTCGTCCTACAAGAACGGTTGGTTCTTCCTGGTTAACTTGGTCAATGGAAGAGCAATCCAAGAGAAATCCTTAATGAATCTTCCATAATACCCCACTAGTCTGAGTAAACTTCTCATCTCGGTCATCGTCTTGGGTCTCTTCTAGTTGAGTACTACCTCAATCTTATTAGGATCAACAGTCACTCCCTCTCAAGAAATCACATGGCCTAGAAATCAGACTTCCTATAGCCAAAACTCACACTTGCTAAGTTTGGCCACAAGCTGCTTCTCTTTTAGGGTATTTAGGATAATGCTCAAGTGCGTCTCATGCTCTTCAAGAGATTTAGAATACACTAGGATGTCATTAATGAATACAACCACGAACTAATCTAAGTTAGGGTGAAAGATCCTATCCATGTAGTCCATAAATATGCAGGCACATTGGTCAATCCAAACGGCATCATTAGGAACTTATAGTGCCCATAGCGAGTTCTAAACCCAGTCTTAGGGACATCATCAAGCTTAATCTTAAGTTGGTGGTAGCCAGAT